ATGAGTATCGGTTCATAATTGACGCTCACGGTTTAAGAATTGAAATTAAATATTTGGTTTTTAAAAATTAATATTTTGTTAGTTCAAAAGAGCTCGGTCCATAATTGACTTAAGCCATATTCCAAACATCACCGTGATGTTTATAGGGGAGCATTCCTTTTACGGCATACGGTTTGATGGTGAGTATATGAGATTCGGCACAGCCGAATATAACACTCTTACTTGTTTATGTTATTTAGTATTTTTTAAGATAAACTTGGAAAAAAATGGAAAAGTGGAAAGGGGAAAAATGTAGGGAAAATAAAAAGTGGTTGTAGGGAAAAAAGGGATTTTTTCTCATAAGCGTAGGGATTTCTGACAAAAAATCTCCTGGCATCACTGGTTATAATAATATCACGGTTTACTTTTTCCCAGCAGTTCTATAAAGAGTCAATGCATACGAAAAAGACAGTAATTTCCACTAATAGTTAACCACCTGGATGATCGTAATTCGTATGTTTTGGGTCATTCGTCACGAATGTACCCTTTGTAATCGAGAATGAAGACAGTCGTCACTTTAGTGTCCTCTTTGTAAGCGGGAGCGGAGACAGTCGTCTTTTTTTACTGTCCTCAAGTAACCTAAAGATTATATTCTTAAAAGTTGTTTTTTTTTTTTTTTGTACTTCCGAAAGACAATCGTCACTTTAGTGTCCCCTTTGTAAGCGAGAGCGGAGGCAATCGTCTCTTTACTGTCTCTTTGTAGGGTGTAGAGTGACGATTGACTTCCTCGTAGGACAAGCCCATGTTGAAATGGTCGGTTACCTGGGTAGTCAGGTGGCTAGGGGCCACCACAAGTGGTAGGTTAAGTGGTCAGTTCGGGACTGTCCCATCGAACTGCTGGGTTATGACACTAAATAAACTAAAATCAAAGGTCTTTTTTACAAGAAACAAGTAAGAGTGTTAAATTCGGACTGCCGAATCTTATATACACAGAAAAAAATATCGTAAGTAATATTAACGAAAACTTTTAGTAAAACCTTAACGAAAAAATAGTTAAATCTTCATAGATTATTTATTGTAGGTAGATATGAATTTTCATCAATTATGTCCAAAAGCACTTTCTGCTTAAAAATTGACTCTGTGTTTGCAGATCACATAAAGGACCAATCTTGTAAACATTTATTCCAAAATATGAAACAAATGGATTTTAATTTGATTTTAATTTCAGGTTCAATATTAGAACTAAAAGAAATCGTGATTTATTTTGAAGGCATAAAATACCGAACGCATTCCGCATTAAATGCAATTTATATCAGTTTTAAAATATTTATTGTACTTAATTTAGAATATCCAAAAGAATCTTTGTTAGTTTGGACCAAAGAATAAATAAGAAATGAAACTGCTGTCAAAAGTACCTAAGTCTACTGTCATCCGGTACCTAACTCTAAGAATGTATTAGTAGAATTCTCAAGTCAACATAGTTGCAAAAAATCGTATTAAAAAAAAATATTACATTTCAATTTATACTTTGAAAGGTTTCTTGAGATATTTTCCACATATTTTATCTACAAACATTTTATAAACACGTCTATTTGTTTTTTAATCTATAATATTGGAAAAATAAATTATTTATTTGAAATATATTTTTCGTTTACCATACGAAAATTTACAACATTGTTTTTTTTTAGTTTTAATTTCAACCAACAAAAATTCAATGTCAAAAATAAAAAATATTTGTTTTTCGTTTGTAGAAAATATATTATTTTCGGGCTATTAAATGTGTTTAAATTGTGCAAAAAAATTATAAAATATAATGTTAAGTGATAAAAAATATTTCAAAGTGCTATTATCCTCAAATTTTCGCGAAAAAGTTTTGAAGTTTGGAGAGAGAATAACATTTTTACATATGTGTTGGATTTACACAGTACTCGTCTGTGAGAAGAGCGTAATGTTATTGTTGTAAAAAAATGACAGCGTTTCACTTCTTGTTTATTCTTTGGTTTGGACATTTATTCAAAAGCACTTATATAATATTTCGACAAATATTGATTGTAGTTAATACATTAATTTCAAATTTGAAATAGTTGTATTTTTACTTAATTTTCTAAGAATAATTTTTTTATGTTTACAAATAATTTTTATTATACCCTTCACCTTCGTGAGAAGGGTATACATATATAAGTTTGTCATTCCGTTTGTAATTTCTATAATATAATTTTCCGACCCCATAAAGTATATATATTCTGGATCCTTATAGGTAAAATTTTTCCATGCTTTGATATAAAAATCAGCAACAACACTGCTTATTCAATGAGTATTTCATTTCATATGTTTGGATGTTTCGTATGTTTGGATGTCTGTAGGTTTCATTGCGTTGTGTATTTTGTTTTTGTTTTTTTTAGTATTTTGTTTTGTATGTTTCATTGCCATGTGTATATTCCCTGCCAGCAACTCAACTAACTTTAAATGCATTAAAAGCCGACTTTTTCATCAACTAGTTATGGTTGATTCTTGGATTATTTGTAATGGAGCCAACTGATTATTTTAACATGGCGATGTCCTACGCAGTAGTCAATTGTCCGACTCTGCATGACTTTTCAACTAGCTTAAAGTTAGTTACTAAAAAATTAGCTTAAAGGTAACTCTTTATTAACTAACTTAAAGTTAGTTGCAGAAAAGTCAAGTAATAGTTTTCGTTTGTATTCCCTACTGTATTAATTAATTACATTTTAATTAAATATATTTAAAATTTAAATTCTAGTTATCTAAATTACATTTCGCTTTAATACAAGTTATGATATTAGTTCGTTAAAATTAATAGACATCAGTTTTCTGCAGGGGAACTAATAATAACACCGGTATCCATAAAATTATGAATGATTTGTTCATTATTTCCATGATTCCCATTGATCCAAATCTAAAATAAATTCTAAAATGTTATGTGTAATGTTAACTGTTAATGTATTATATTTACAGTATTAATCAGCAGAATTTAGAATTTAGGGACCGAGTTTTGAAATATTTAACATTTCATAATTCATTTTTCCAATTTACTGACTCTAATTTCACAACGTATACAAGAAAATGACAAAAATTTAAAACAAAATACCAAATAATAAAGAAACATGAGAAAACATGTCAAAACAAAATGCTCTCCAGATAATTTGGGGTACTCCCGCATTATATGATAGTTAGCTTGTAGCTAGTCCTTAAAAGTCGGTTGTTTACGTTAATAAATACCAAATTTTGGAACATTTCTGCATTACATTGTTGTTCGTTTATAGTCAAAGTTAACAAATAAAATCATAATAATAGAGAAATAAGAGAAAACATGTTGAAATACAATTAATTCTCTCCAGATAATTTTGAGGCACTTCTGCATTACATTATAGTTAGCTTGTAGTTATTATTTAAAAGTCGGTTCTTTACGTTGCCAAATACAAAATTTCGGGATAGCTCTGCACTACATTGTAGTTAGCTTATAGTCAGTCTGTAAAAGTAAACTAGAAGTGTATTTTTCTCGTAGTCGACTACAAAATTGCTGGCAGGGTTGTTTTCGTTTGTTTGGATGCTGTTGGTTTTACTGCCTTGTGTATTTTGTTTTTTATGTGGTTATTTCGTTTAGCGTTGTTGTTGTTCATTTTGTATTGCTATTGCTATAATAATGATATAGTTCGGAAAAGGAAATAAATTAAAATTTTATGAAATTGATATTTATTAAATACACTATGGTGAAGGGTATATAAGATTCGGCAAAGCCGAATATAGCACTTTTACTTGTTTTTTTTATACCCTCCACCACCGTCAGTGGTGATAGAGGGTATATATAAGTTTGTTATTCCGTGTGTAACACGAAGAAATATTCATCTGAGACCCAACAAAGTATATATATTCCGGGTCCTTAACAAATTCTGAGTCGATTTAGCTATGTCCTTCTGTCTGTCTGCCTAAAACATGCTCACGTTAAAACTAAGCAAAAGAAATAAACCAGAAATATTCACTGTTGTCCTAAGCAGTTTGCTATTGAAAATCAGCAAAATCGGGTCACAACGTTAAAAGTTATGAGTGAAAATTTCAGACTACCTAGAAAAAATTACGGGTTTTTTCGTAATTCTTAAGTCGTTTCCTCAGAAACTACAAAAGATAATTCGATGAATTTTGTCCCACATTATTTTTTTATCCAGGGATAAATAATGTTGAAAATCAAAATAATCGATTCAAAATTTCCCATAGCCCCCATACAAAGGTATATATATATTCCCGAAAATTTGTTTATCAATAACAACTCCCTCAAATATATCGATATCAACATTTTTTGTACATGCAAATATAATATAAACAGAAATCATGCTATCAACGTAGATCTCAGTAGATCCACAATTGGTCATAGCTCCCATATAAGGTCCACTTTGGAAAATCACCTAAACGCACATATTTTATTGATAAATAAAGCTATTGAGATAAAATTCGAGTTGAATATGTTTTGTGTATATACAAATCATTCTACCAATTTTTTTATGCATCGGTCCATTATTGGTCATAGCTCCCATATAAAGCCCACTTCCGAGAATTACTTAAACGCATATATTTCATTGAATTCTAAAGCTATAGAGATAAAATTCGACTTGAATATGTTTTGTGTACATATAAATCATTCTACCACTTTTTTCCGGATCGGTCCAATTATTGGTCTTAGCTCCCACATAAGGCATACTTCCGAAAATCACTTAAACGCTCATATTTCATTGTCAAATAAAGTTATCTTGATAAAATTCGACACAAATATGGTTTGTCTTTATATGAATCACTCTACGAAATTTTTTCCGCTATAGGGATAAAATTCGACTTGAATATGTTTTGTGTACATATAAATCATTCTACCACTTTTTTCCGGATCGGGAAGGCCCACTTCCGAAAATCATTCAAACGCTCATATTTCATTATCAAATAAAGATATCTTAATAAAATTCGACACAATAAATAAAACAGACGAGAATTTTCTACTTATGATACCATTGTGCATCTGTTCATGCGTTTGTACAAATGGTAACGCAGTGCGGGTATTTGGGGTGAAGTTAGTTGGAGTTTATTTTACTGTTTTATCTATCGGTGTATATGTGTGTCATTCAATGTGGTGGTGCTAACGTAAATTTTCCATTAAATGACTTGGGTATAAAAGACGACATCGCGTCAAACTTTTCTTTTCTTTTACTTTGGTTTACAACTAATTTGTATAACTAGAAGAAATTTTGACCACACATTTTGGAAATTTTGTGGATATTACCGAAACTTTGCAAAGTCTTATCAAAAGGTAGTAAAAATGTTCCGCAATCACAGAATTACTGTCTTAAAAGATTTTATTTTTTTATTTCTTTAGAACACTTGAAAAACGCATACTGGCAATTTGTGATTTGCGGTGAGGTTATATTGAATCTCGAAATTACCTCTAACATCATTTTTTTTGCACGCTTAATTATATGCACATGTCACGGTACTAAGATTTCGTTTTCATACACCATACACACATAAGTAGCATCTGGTCATTTACTTGACACTGCTTCAAAAAAAAACGAATATTAACAAGAGGAAGAAACAACCCCGGGAATCAAACAAAATTGAAAACATAAAGACAAGTTGTGACAAGTAACTATAACTATTTGGTTTTTTCCTTTAAAAACAACCACAAAACAAATATTTTAAAATCTAATATCACAGAAAAGTTGCTTAATCTATTATCACAATGAGGAAAATTTTAACAAAAACAATTTAAATAAAACAAATCGAATGGAACCGAAATCTTAGAGTTAAAATATATCACAGTATAATACAGTAAACTTAATCATTAGCATCTTAAAAACAGTGAAATTGCATATATTAAAAAAAATTGTAACAAAGGAATTTGCAAGAATTTTGAATTAATTGTCTTAATTGTCCGGTAAATAGTTATTTTTTTTTTCATTATGCTGATTACATCCGAATTATTCAGTGATTTTGTTAATGGCACTTAATTTTTCATATTTAAACCGAATTCGTGATGTTTTTTTTTGCTAAAAGTGTATATTTTGAATCTCTTTAAAACAAAAACATTTAATTCTTTTGTAATTGTTTAACCGCGTTGTGTTAAAATAAAAAGAAGTGAAATAATTAAAAGCTAGAACTCAACAAAAACTTGTTTAATCGAAAGAATAAAATAAACAAATATACATACGTACATATATACATACCCTGCCAGCAATTTTGTAGTCGACTACGAGAAAAATTCACTTCTAGTTTATTTTTACGGACTGACTATAAGTTAACTACAATGTAATGCAGAGCTGTCCCGAAATTTTGTATTTGGCAACGTAAAGAACCGACTTTTAAATACTAACTACATTACTAATGTAATGCAGAAGTGCCTCAAAATTATCTGGAGAGAATTAATTGTATTTCAACATGTTTTCTCTTGTTTCTCAATTATTATGATTTTATTTGTTAACTTTAGTAGACTGACTATAAACGAACAACAATGTAATGCAGAAATGTTCCAAAATTTGGTATTTATTAACGTAAACAACCGACTTTTAAAGACTAGCTACAAGCTAACTATCATATAATGCGGGAGTACCCCAAAATTATCTGGAGAGCATTTTGTTTCGACATGTTTTCACATGTTTCTTTATTATTTGGAATTTTGTTTTACATTTTTGTTATTTTCTTGTATACGTTGTGAAATTAGAGACAGAAAATTGGAAAAATTAATTATAAAAGGTTAAATATTTCAAAACTCGGTCCCTAAATTCTAAATTCTGCTGATTAATACTGTAAATATAATACATTAACAGTTAACATTACACATAACATTTTAAAATTTATTTTAGAGTTGGATCAATGGGAATCATAGAAATAATGAACAAATCATTCATAATTTTATGGATACCGGTGTTATCATTAGTTCCCCTGCAGAAAACTGATGTCTATTAAATTTAACGAACTAATATCATAACTTGTATTAAAGCGAAATGTAATTTAGATAACTAGTAGTTAAATTTTAAATATATTAAATAAAATGTTATTAATTAATACAGTAGGGAATACAAAAGAAAACTATTACTTGACTTTTCTGAAACTAACTTTAAGTTAGTTAATAAAGAGTTACCTTTAAGCTAATTTTTTAGTAATTAACTTTAAGCTAGTTGAAAAGTCATGCAGAGTCGGACAATTGACTACTGCGTAGGACATCGCCATGTTAAAATAGTCAGTTGGCTCCATTAAGAATAATCCAAGAATCAACCATAACTAGTTGATGAAAAAGTCGCCTTTTAATGCATTTAAAGTTAGTTGAGTTGCTGGCAGGGTATATTTGTCTACACAAAATATGTACATACATACGTATATACAGTTGTTTATAAACAAAAAGTGTAAAATTTATATTCATGTAACTTCGAATTTAAAGTTATGTTGAGAGCTTTAAGTGAGACTGAAAAAAAATTAAACAAATCAAAGCAACTAATTTTACTAGAGAATTATTTTACTAGCATAAATCCAATATTTAACTAAATAATATTTAAATTAACAAACTAAACATTTTAACTTAAGAGGAAGAACAAAATCAACATTAAATTCCACCCCATATCTATTTCCTTCAAAATTGGTCATCAGAGTTCCAGTGAAAGTACTTTCATCGATGGATCACCAATACCAATGTATGTAAGTTTTGAATTTTTTTTTGTTTAGAAATATGTATTTAACGAAGAATTTGTCAACGCCTAACGGTTGTATTCATAAAAAGTTAATTTAGGTTTATTAAACATTATTAAGCAAAATCCACGAAAATGGTATTCATAAACGTCAAATAGCTTAAAATACCTTCAATAAACCAATGACAAATAGAAAAAATTTATTGTACGCTCGACCCTACTTTAAGCCAACAATAAGTTGAATTCTTACAAATTTTGTCTCTGATTAAGCTTTTTTCATTAATTTTAGGTTGAAGACGAAAACTAATCATGTTTTATTCTGAAATGAAATCTAAAAATTGTAATTTTAACGTTTACAAATTTGTAAATAAAATTCCAGATAAATTTTAAAAGTTACTATTTTGGTGAAAAAACTAAAATCTACGCATTATTGGATTAATAGATGAATATTTAACAGTATTCCAGTTGGTTAATACTATTTTTGGAAATGCCCGCCTGTCAATCAAATCATGGCCACAATCATTTTATTTGTCTTTTTCATAGTTTATTCGCTAAATATAAAGCCATGAAGTAATTAAGAGTGTAAATTATATTGATTAGTGTTCTATCAATGCAAAATATCTTCTCCGGCAATAAAATGTAGTCTTTTATCAAAGAAATTTATCAGTATTTGCAAAACAGTTAAACAATAAACAGCACAATAGTTAATGTAGGTTTATTATTTGTTTATGAATACCACAATTTTATTAATGGCTTTTAAGTCTAAAGTGTACCTACTTTAACTATTGTGTGATTTAAATCTAAAATAAGCATTTTTTATGAATACAACTGTAAATCTCTATTTGTTAATTATCATTTCACATCATTACTATTTTTATTATTGTTTTACATTAAATGTTCATTACATTTTGTAATTTATGTTACACTAATGTTATGAACAGATAAGAATGAACTGTTAAAATATTTGTTATATTATACGTTATATTGGATGCTAAATGGTGAGATGACAAATATAGATTTATCAGCGTAGAGCAAAAATCTTTCAAATTTTAGTTAAAATTCGTATCAGAAATTTTGAAACATGCAAAATGATACCAAATATGTTGGATAAAAATGTTAAATTTATTAAATTATTAGTATTATTGTAATTAATTGCTTGAAATCTAACGGTATCAATTGATTTGTAAAAGTTCAATGAACTTTATGAAATTTATGCCGTTGGAATTGTTTTACCAAAGTGTGGTGTAAATCTATTCAGCTTTGTTGTTGTTTTCCCTCAGTCTTAAAATATAGGAAAAATTATATTCTAAAGTACTTTCTAATACCAAAAAAAAGTAAATATTTAATAGAAAGTAAATAGAACAATTAACTTTAAAATTAACATGAAAATTAATATTTGTGTAATCGCAATATTCTAATTTTTCCATTCGATAAATATAATAAAATAAATAAATCAAAATATACCAGAGACGTAACGGTTATAAGAAAAATGGTCTCATTTATCAATTAATAGTGAGGGATTTATAATAAGTGTTATAATTAACCATTATTATAAGTTACATTTGATTTTGATCGTCGTAACCAATACCAGAGAGAAATATATTTTTTTGGTTAAGAATAACAATTATCGTAACCAAAAATTTTTTATTGGTTATATTTTTTTCAAATATCTTTGGCAAAATAAATAAAACGGGCAGTTTTGCAACAAATGTCTATTCATTTTATAAATAAAATATAATTTAAATTAATTTGCCTTCTAATTCCGTTAATATTTATATGGACCAAAAAATAAATAAAATAAATTTTGGTTATCTATAACCAAAAAAATATTGGTTGCTGAATAACAGTTATTCATAACCAAAAAAATATATTTCTCATGTTAATTGGTTATGGAGACCTAAATAATATAAATCTTATAATAATGGTTAAAAAGTACTTAAATAAAATAAAGGGATTTTTTGCGTAACCTTTTCTTTCAAAAGAAAAAAAATAACAATTATTTTCGGTCCCTGAAATATACACTTTGTAAAAATTTGGTACCCCAGGTTCTAGCCCTAGTCAAACCATTATTTTTTTCGTTTTTTTTTTATTCATGCCAATTTTTATTTGAATTTTATTGTAGTTTTCTTTGTATTTCTAAGTTTTAAAATTTAAAATTGTTTAGCTTTGTTTAGCTTTTTTTTTTTCTAATTTAAAATTGCAATGTTATAATTTAATTGTTGTAATTTTCTTCTTATAAACATTTAGTTGTTAATTTTTTTTGTTTAGATTTCATGCTATCTGAATTCATGAAGATTATGAATAGGTTATTTTGTTATTTACACATTTCGGAGTTAAAAATTATATAGTTTCAAATACTTGCATGTTATATGAATTATATTGGTAATAAATTTTTGAATATTATAATGAAATTCTAAAAGCACTTGTTTTGATTTCCAAGGTTCTATGTAAATAGGTTGTTAGTAAAGGGATCATGTATTTACAATTGGGGAGAGATTTGTTCATGATCAAGGTTGGATGGGCGTTTGGCGTAGGGTTATCAAATACGCGTAAGGTAAGCTTTCTGGAAGACTATAATTTATCATTTTATTTCTCGTTCTGTCATATCTATATATTCTTTTTCTTAAAACTAGAGCATGCATAATCAAAATAGTTTCTGTAGCTAAAAGTTATACTTGGAGTAAATAATGGCCACGAATTCCCCCACGAGCAAGAAGCTGGACACAAATTGCATGCTGAAGCCATTAAACCCTTATACTTCGAGTTATTTCAAATTTAAAAAGGTTATATGCTACAAATCATTACACCGTCCAACAAAAAGAGAAAAAATCGTAAGACACGAACTGGATGATATACGTATAAAACTATAAATTTAATGGAGAAAAACTGCGTCTTTTATTTTTCATTTCGTGATTCTGTGTCATTTTTAAAGGACTTCAAAGTTTTAAAAAGTAAATTTTTCAAAAAATATTTTAAAATACTTCTACGGATCAAACAATGCCAAATTTGATGTCAAGCTAAAGAGAAGAGTTGGGAAATATTTTGTATTATTTTTATTTTATACTGTTAGGATAAAAATATGTCAAAAATGCCTTTTAAAAATTTGATCCTTTAATA